TTTTGTTCTTCTTTTATTAAAAATAATTAGGGCAAACGATTGAAACCACGTTTACTAACAGAACGTGATATCAAAGAAGAAAAAGGAAAACATCATCCATATGTTGCTTTTCGACGGCGTATTGAAAAAATGACAACAAGAAAAGTAGAAAAATAAAAAATTTTGATTTTCTTATGCAATTTATTGTTTGCTTGTTTTTTTTAAATAGAATCGAAAGAATGATGAGCAAGCTTATTTGTCAATGCTCAAATTACGTTCTAATTTTGAAGCCGTCGTGTAAGTTATTGTTATTGTTGTTGTTTTATTGATTATTTTAATGAATATATTTGTAATTTTATAGTAAGTTAACAAATTTGATCAAACTACGCGAAACAACCAAAGTGTCATGGCTCGAATGCGCACTAGCAATTTTTCAAGCACGGTACGCTGCCTGCCCACCCGTCGTCGGTGGCAACCGGAGAGTCTCGCTTAGTGAGCTCTGTGTGTTGTCTGCCTTTTTATTCTATGCTCGTCCAGATGTGATTCGAAATCGGATGATGAAACAACATCGACGAATCAATCATCGACATCATCGTTGCCGACAAATCATGATCAACATCATCATACTCGTTCCCATTTAAAAACATCTTCATTGATGAATAGTAATATTAATCTAACAGCTATTCAACATCAACAATTATTAACACAATTAATACGTATTGAAAGTCAGAAAAAAAATTCATTAACAACATCAACATTAACTAGTCTTTTACAAACACCTATACAATCACAATCATTATCAACGGATCCCAATGATCCATTTCAACGAAAAATTAAGAAATTTAAAGGATCACATAGAAAAATTAACCATGTATGTTTTAAAAATAGATGATTTTCATTTGAAAGTATGTTTTAATTTTTTCTTTTAGACCGATAAGCTTACACAATTGTTGTCATCACCAACAACTCCATCATCATCTGCTGTACATAATATGGGATTGACATCAACAGCAACCTCACCACAATCAATACTTGAACGATTGTCATCCACAAATGTTGTTTCTCCACCTTCACAACAACAAACAAATCGACGTCGTTTAAAAAATTCTCCATCAGGAACAATAAAACAAGGAAAAAATCATCGAAATTTATCACCTGTGGATATATGGTCTCTTGTGGATAATACAACAGGTGGTGCAATTTTTCTTAAAGCTCAATTTCTTGAAGCAGCAAGACAAATACAACAAAAAGAAGTAAAACTAAAATTAATGAAATTAATAAATTTCTATTGATCAATCATTTTAGGAGCTTGAAAATAATATAAATCGTCGTGTTATTTTGCAAGACGGTTCATCTGTATTATCGAATACAAATGAAAATATCAATAATAGACTTGATGAAGTGGGAACGAGTATTGATGACGATGAATCAATTGATCCTTGGCAATTTCGGCCTAAGACTGGATGTAGATATCTTCGGGTAAATTTTTTTTTTTTTCTTAATCAACAAATTTTACAAAAGAAGTTTTCTTTGAGAAAGAATTTTTTGCAGATCTCTCTTAGAGGAACGATCCATCAGACGTAATAGAGACAGAGTTGGGTGAGGTCGAGTAAACTACTCATGTTCGAGGTGGTCGGTACTTGTACTCGTATTTGTACTCAAATAGAATATTTGTAGTACTCATGTTTAGGGTCAACACTCGTACTTGAGAAAATTCGTACCCATATTTACATTACAATAGACCAGATTTTCTGAGATTCGAGCTGAAAATCGTAAAAGACTAGTCAACTTTTTCAACTTCAAAAATCCTAAAAATGACTTTATTTTTTGTGAAATATTTTTTTTGAAATTAAGAATTATAAAAATAGATTAGCAATAACAGAAAACTCAGAGTTTTCTATTGCTGAAAGTTTTTTTTGTTGATTGTAGAACTTTAAAACTCTGAAGTTTGTTATTGTAAGTAAAATATGACTCGACAAAAGTTTAATTGACATTGATGACTCATATTTAGCACAATGATAAGAATATGATCTATCTTGTAATTTCAAAAATTGATAGTGGTTATTTTTTGAAATAATGATACCTGCAATTCTATATTAGAGATTTCTTTCAAACATAGAACTTTACATTTTGAAATGGTTAATAATAATCTATAGTATGAAGTTTTTCAATTTCTATGATATCGTGTTAAAATATGATTTGTATATAATATATTAATATCTTTTATAATATTTAGCCTATTGACCAAGATCAACAACAGCATGTTCAATCACAACGTTCAAGTTTTTCATCATTTTATTCTCTCGCTTGTTCCGAACGTGGTCATCTCGGCAAGCGACGAGTACGAATAGGTCGCGGTGGAAGGTATATTTATTATTATTTCTATCAGATTGAATGCGTATTGTATTCAAAATCTTACTTTAGATTACTCTATGATCGTCATATTGAACAGGAGAATAAGGATTCTATGAATACAATTCATCCTTTTTCATCAACAAATAAATCACATTTTACGGACAAGTATGTATTATCATTGTTCACGGTAAGTATATTATCTAAATCAAATTTTTCGGTTTGTTTTCTTTAGACCCATATTATGGTATGTCTCGTCTCAACCATCACTTACCGAATCATATCATTTACACTCACATTTAACAGTTCATGATCATACAACATCACTAGTTCATCATTATCAATCGAAATCATCGTCGAGTTCAATACATTTAAACGATTCATTCTATCATGTAAATAATTCAAATTCATCCCTATCATTAAATACAAACGGTAAGTATAGACCATCGGTATCAATTGAACTCGATCATCCATATTCATGTTCATCACGTCATGTTAATCAAGCATTACGTACATTAGTTGAACCACAATTACCATCACCATCACCATCACCACCTCCAATGACTTCTATATCTACATCACAACATATGATGCTTATATCGACACCACCTACACCACCACCACCATCATCATCATTGATAATAAATAACCATAAAATAGATAGTTCTCAACAACAACCATTCTATACAAAATCATCATCAGCATATGTTCTTTCTCCATCGACACAATTTTTTCCATCACATCATCACTCACATGTTATTCCATCAACACCTCCACCTTCAACACCGTCATCATGTGCTCTTGTACAATTTGTTCAACTTCATCGTATACTTCCACCGACAAAAACTCATAATTTTGCATCATCAACACCGGTGACTACATCCGATTCATGATAGATATGTGTCTGTATCGTTTTTCATTATAATTATGGGTTCATATTCCTTTAATGTGTATGCGCGCATGCGCGTGTGTATATTTGTTCTTGATGTTTTCCCGCCCGCTATTTTGGTTTGTTTGTTTGTTGTTTCATTTATTTCTTCTCGTCCTTTTTTTTATATGTTTGTTTGTGTGTATGTGTGATGATTTTTTTCCTTGTTGCTCGTATAATATCGAGAAAAAAAAACAATCATACTCGATGTTATTTCGAATAGCAAAATAGATTGATCACGCACAAAAAAAAGTACCTATTAAAAAAATTGAACTCATTCAAGGAAACACTTTTTTTCTTACAATGTTCAATATGTAATGAGAAAAGTTAATCGTTTTTCTTTCCATTTCAAATCTAATCAGTAATTAAAGGTCATCACCTTGATTTAAAAAATTTATTTTCACAAGTACGTGCATGTTGGACAAACCATTAGTAATACTTGTTATCATCTTGCCATTCGACTCGCTATATGATGAAATGACATGATTAATGCGTTGGTATTCACAATGAAAAAATCATTATGAATACAAATCATTAGAATATAAAATATAGTTCGATGTTTTAGAAAGTATTTAAATCATAATTTATCTGTTCAGTATTGCAATTCATGTAGAATTTATGATCGTGTATTATAGATTTGAACTGTTGTTTGCAAACAGTTTTGAATATTTTATTTTTTTTAATTTTATTTTTTTTTCCGTATGTTTAATATAAATATGAGACAACAAAAAAATTCAACAATTGATTATGAAGTATTCTTAATACTCTTGAAGAAAATATGATTTCATTTTATAAATAAATAAATCAGACAATATATATATATGAACATATTATGATTAAGATAGTTTCAATCGTATATGTAGAAGTTTAATTATATGTATATGCATAGAAATGAAGAGATATCTTATAAATGAGTTGAAATGATGTTTATATATAGAAATAGAATTTGATGTTATTCATCAAACATAGAGTTGTTGATTTATTCCACAGTAAACAAAAGAAATTGATCATGATTACAGTACGATTTATTCATTCAGATTTGAGATAGTTGTTATTGTTGGAAGAAATACTATGACAAAAGCTTTTAATATTTCTGTCTGTATTCATTAAATAATATATTAAACAAAATTCTTCTAGGAGATATCTGATAAAATCTAAAAATGAAAATTTCAGTTACATAACTATTAGTTAAAATAATATGAAGCATACCGAAGGACGCACACAAACAAAAAATTCAAGTTAGTCATGAATGCGAGAAAATAACACTTTGTTGATCTATATCGTTGATTTTGATAGAAGCATATTTATATAGTGTAAAACAAGGATATGCATTTTCACACGTATACTATTCAACAAGGCCAATCAGTAATAATGTATGATTGATCACATAAAAACTGATACAAATAGAGATTTGATTGATAGAGACAGGCCTAAAGAAGTATTAGAGAAAATAATTTAACTTTTTTTTTTTTAAAATCTTTGATATTTTCATCTCTTCGGATGGAAAATTTTTATACTCAATAGTTAGTATCTGTTCAAAGAACTAACTCACTTCGCACAGAATAATCAGTGCTCGAAATTAACATCAATTGATATTGCTTGTTTTTTGTCTTTAGAAGATTTTAATTCGATACTTTCGTGATATTTTTTAATAACTATAATATATGGCAAAACATTTAAATTAGAGATGAAATAATATCGTATGTATAATATGTACGCAAGAAAAAAAAAGAAAAAAGTTTCACGAAATATATGAAAAAGCAGTGATTGATGTATTCTCGGTTTCTTGCTGTTGACCAAAATGAAAAAGTTGTTGTTTCGATGGATTTTTATGAACACTATCATGTGAATATCTTACAAATTGTTCGTATTGTTCATTAAGTTTCGTTGTTAATAATTGTTCATACTGTTCACGTATTAATTTATCTTGTTCACGTAATAGACGAGCACACATTTGAGCAGTTTGTGTATATGTAAACATAGGTGTATCATCAGTTGATGATGATGTTAAAACAGCAAGTGAACATGATTTTAATGATGTTTTTTTATTCGTCGATGATTTAGTAAAAATTGATTGTTGCTTTGTAGGTGATGATGAAGTATTATTGATTGTAAATGTTGTTGGTGATAATTTTATTTCTGCTCGTTTACGTTTCACACCTTGTTCAACTGGATCAAATTCAAGTGAACGTTTAAGTGATGCAACTGCTAACATATTGAATAGTTCGTTAATTCAAAAATTGAAAAACAAAAATAAGATCAAACACCAATATGCAAAATAATAATAATGTGTACAATTATTTCTTGTGTCGGAAGAGGAAGAGAGGAGGGTTTATATATACAGAAGACACAGTCATGTCTTTGTCTAATAATTATAAACCAATCAAAATTGAAATTTTAATCGAGAACGATCTTATGAATACAATGTTGATTTAATGAAAATTTTATTGAAAATAAAATGATAAATTAAAGATGTTGATATATTTATTTTATCATTCAAGACAAGAAGAAGATGACGCTTTTGATCTAAAGATTTTGATTGGTTGAAACAAATGACAAATCTGATTGGCAGAAAGGTTTTTTTTCTTAGAAGAGTAGTTTGATGCTGTGAAATAGAGCTAAGCAAAAGACAACTAGAATTGTTTGTCTTGTTGAATTTTTCAGTTATGTTTACTTCATTATGTTTTATAGATTAAGATCTCTCTGTCTTTCTCATTATGATTATCCCAGATTTACATAAATCTATCTTTTCTTACAAATATAGAGATGATATCAAATGAATTGATCGAATAATGATGAGAGAAAGTTTTTCCAAATTGCTGACAGTTTAAATTCATAAATTTCAAAATTCAACTATTATTTGCAATGGCGAATTCGAAAAGGAAGTTCAAGTTACGAAATTAATTTTGTGCAAATCGTTCTTTCTTTCTGTTACCGATCGTTATTAAATACACATGAGATAATTTCAATTAATAATTATAACGGGTGAGTCAGATTAAATGGCCCTCTCAGTATCTTGACTATAACTTTTTTTCTTTTTGTTCTTTAGAGCTAATTGTTTTTTCAAAAGATGCGCCGTGAAATTCTCTGTAAAATCATAATCAAACTTATTTGTGTAGAAAGTTAAGGAAAAACGTTAAACGAAGATTATTCGACACATTAAAAGTACCCCACTTTCAAAGCTAACCGGTNCGTTTTTCAATGTCATCTATACACTCTATTATCCAATCAATATTGTACGGACCTCTGCTAGCTTCTAACATATATTGAAAATATTTCTCCAAGATTCTCGAAAACTCGAAGATTTCAAAATTCTCAAGGTGGGAAATATATATCCCACTGGGCCTCAAAGGGTTAAAGGTAAAACAATTTTCCAATAGTGAAAAATGTTGCGCATTAGTCATAACCAGCAGCATTTTTCTCTACTTGAGATTATCGTATCTTTAAGTTCGCAATGACAATCACGATTGTGATCACAATGTAGATCAACGGTACCACTTACATCCCGCTTGATTGAGCAGATACTGAGTTATGATGAATGATGCCTTTTTTCACTTTAAGTTTCATAATTCAGGAAGAAAATTTTTCGAACAATGTTCTCTATATTTTAACATTGTTTTCTGCCAATTTCGGAAAAAAATGTTGCGTTAGAAAGATATGATATAAGGATGATCATTTTATTAGTGTCAAGGATCCATAGACATCAATATTTCAACAAATGAACTTATGTTTTGAATGAATCAAGACTATATATTAATCTGAATTTTCTTATGAAAATATTGAGAATTAATCATGTATTTGATAAGAAACAAGGCAAACTTTTAAGGTTATGAAGTTCATAGCAAAAATAAATTCCATCCATTATTATTCGATTTCCACTCAAGCAAGCGAGATTCAGATACTGTCCCTAACTTCAATACCTGACGAAGCACTCACAAAGAAATTTTCAAATCTCTAACCATTACGTTGCTTGAGATCCGAGGGTAGAAATGAAAATACTTTTGTCCACGACTGTAAAAGTATCCCGTGTAAGTCGGATTGATCCTAGATTGGAAAATTTTAGATCCGAAGGGCTCTATATGTAAAATGCTCAATCAAAATATTCTTAAATAATTTTTTTTTTTCTCTAATTAATATCATATTTTTTATTTTTTCTTTAAAGGTATATCTATAACACGTAAATCATTGAAATTTTTTCAATCAGTATATAAATCTGATTTTCTCATTGTATCACCTGTTGGTCTTCGAACATTACTTGAAAAACGTCGTCGTAAACGTAAACAATCATCGGACAATTCTGAATCTGATAGTGATAATGAAAATACAAATGAAAATAATTCATCTACTATAGCTGATTTTTTATCATCAATTGAATGTGTTTATATTGATCAATTAGATATATTATCAATGCAAAATCTTGATCATCTATTTTATATATTAGAAAATCTGAATTGTATTCCACAACAAGCAACATCATCAACAGATTTTTCTCGTATACGTCATTGGTCATTAAATGGTTGGGCACGTTTCTATCGTCAATTAATTGTTCTATCATCGTTTACAAGTCCATTATTTCTTAGTTTATTTCATCGTTTTTCAACAAATTATTCAGGACAATGTTTAATTCAACCATCATTTCCATTAAATGGTTATATACGTCCAGTGTCAACATTTCATCAATTATTTCAACGTATACCAATATGTGATCCAACATTAAGATTTAATTATTTCATTGAACATATTCTACCACGTTTTGATACATCAACATATGATCATACATTAATTTATTTATCATCATATTTTGATTTTGTACGTTTAAAAAATTATATGCGTACAGAAAAACATAAACAATTTAATTATTTAACATTAAGTGAATATTCAACAAAAAAACAAATTCTATTAGCAAGAAATATATTCTATCATCGTCAAGTACGATTTTTATTAATGACAGAACGTTTTCATTTTTATCATCGTTATCGTATAAAAGGTATACGACATATATTATTCTATGATTTACCATCATATGGACATTTCTATCCAGAAATTGTACAATTTTTAACATTACCACATGTAATAGATAAGAAAAAAACAACACGAACAAATCAAACCGATGAACCAAGTACATGTACGACATTATATGCCAAAGAAGATGCATTAAAATTAGCTTATATACTTGGACAAAATGCTGTTACTGATTTGTTAAATTCAGAAAAAAATACACATTTGTTTACGAATAAATAAACAAATAAAATCTATAAATAATTCTTCAAATATGATATTTCAAAAGTTTTTTTTTGGAAAAAAAAGAACACGGAGAACTTTTGAACAATGCAAGTTATATCTCTATGTTCTTGAAAGTTTTTATTTTCACATAATTTCATTTTTATCTTCTGTTCAAGATGAGCATAGTGCATTGAAATACAAGTTCGCAATTTTGAAATATTTGAAAAAAAAAACATTGCATAGAACGTTGTTTTAAGTCGTATTTATTTTCATTACCAATTCTTATTGTTATTTCAATGTGATCTTTGGCAGGCATAAACTTGAGTGCATCTACATCCTTGAGTTCTCTATGCAAGGAAAAATGTTGTTCAAAAATTGATGCTTTTTTATCGTTGAAATTAAAAAAAGTCTCAGTTTGTTTACATTATGTACTAATATGAGTCATGATTCAATATACTACTGTATAAACTTTGTAAATAGACATAAACCTTGATGCGAATATATACTTTCACTTCCAATAAGAATGCTAGGACAATTCGTCGTATGACATGTTATTCTTCTAACTATCACGAAGGAGCATCGAAAGTGTGTGGATGATGTATAAAAAAAACCGAGAGGTGGAAAACTGTTGAAGAAGTTGGAATAAATAAAGTATGACTTCATTGACTGATAATTTCAATTTTGTCTTTTTTAAATCTGTAATATGACTAGAAGATGTTTTTTCCATTGCCGTTATCTTTGTTTTTAATGATGAATGATGATAAAAGAAAAAGTCTTATCATTTCTAGCATCAGGATGCATAAACAATGAGGTGCGCGTTTCTTGACATACAAATGTAGTTAATGATAAAAAATATTTCTGTTAAAGCATACCTCTAGATATTTTTCTTAGTAGATTTACTTGTAAACAATATGTATTCGAGCTTCAAATTATCATTTTATTACTCTTAATTGTATTCTGATCTTATTATTCTAGTATCTGCTATATAGAAATTCTTGAAATATCATAAACGTTCTATGCTTCGAACATGTTTATATTCTGCTAACGTAGTCATTCAAAAACTTTCATTCTACTATAATAAATTGAAAGGATTTCTCGTAAAAAATATTTTAAATAAAGTATAGAACTAAGAAAACAATTTAACACTAGTATTCTGCTCGAAAAGTTCATTGGTCTACGAGGATGAATTCAATTAGGTTTATTAATCATCAACCAACGTTGAAAAATAGCAATAATTGGAAGACATCTACTGAAAAAAAAACCTAATAGTGCAATCCCAGCAGACTTAAAATGTGAAACATGACATAGTTATGAATTACTACATACTGTTCGTACATGTCAATAATAATCGTAATGTATATTACAGTCAGTGTAAAAGAAAGACAAAAGGCAACTACTTTTAAATTAATTATGATTCATAATAATTCTGTAGTAGAGTTCAGTCTCAAGGGTATATGTAGGTTATGATTTGTAAGAAGAGCACCGCACTACTCAAGTATTTGTCCGTGATGGAAGAAAGAGAGTGTTGTTAAGATGTCGGTGACTTCTGTAAAAGGCGGGGAGAGGTCATAATTTCTACCTCTATAGTTCCACTCTTTTGTTAGATCGTGTTTCATCTAAAAAATCAAAAGAGAAAGAATAGATAGATATCTTTCGATTACATCCGATATTGATCAAGTAATTCTCCTAAAAGAAATGTTTACGAGTTTTCATAGAATCTAATAAACTATTTAACAACCTGAAGACCATCAATAAATGAAAGATAAACAGTCGTGGAAGATTAAAATGCATGTACTACTATAGACTTACTGTGTAACAGCTCAACATCGACTAGCTGAGCTGATATCCTTATTTAACTCTCTGCATATGAACGGAAATCTACGAAAACCTGACTTTATCCTTGCCAATAAATTTGTGACAATCCTTTTTCAGTTTACATGTGCAAATTTTGATTAAACTATTTTGAATTATTCAGCGGTGAACTATCGCACTCATATATACTTAAGACTAAGGGTATCAAGTATCAAATATGCAGACAGGATACTTCATGAAAAAGAATGCGTTCAATCTTTAGCTTAAACAATAAAACTAATATACGATACCAAAGTTTTTGATCTATTATTAGTAAAAGTTAACTAGAAAAATGCAATTTTAATTATTAAATAACGCCATCTATTTATAATTTGGTTGTTATTTTATCTCACAGAATATCCATTTGAAATCATTTTTTGTTTTCTTCGTTATCTTTTTACGCATAGTTTTTGTTTTTTTAAAAACAACTATTATCTGATGACAAACTCAAACATACTTTTCTTCTTCCTTTATGAAACTTTTGATCTTAAACATCTAATACTTTACATAGAAAAATTCTTTATATTCTAAAGAACTTAATGCATCGAAACCTTACTTTTCTTTTACATTGTAGATTTTTTTCTCTCATTAGAAATAGAGATGGTACCATCTGATTGTGTACCTTCGAATTTAAAAAACAACCGATATCTACAACTAGCTCCTTTAAATTTACCTTCAACTATTGACAACTCAACAAAATCATTACCAGTCACAACAATCCTAACTCCAATGTCACCAAAATCTTTTACTTCCAATGGGTCATCAGCTTTAACATCACCTGGTCAAATACATTTTCTTTATCCAAATGTGTCTCCTCTTTCGAGACAACTAACACCGAGTAGTGATGAATCGAGGTCATTAAAACAAGAAGAAATCAATCAAAATTTAATTGATTTCAGTGTTGATGATGAAGTATCTGCTGTTGATGCATTCGATCCATTCAGACAACCTAAACAGTCACCAGTGTTGCCATCTAAATTAGATGAAGTCATTCCAAATGTACCTGATGTTGTGGTATCAAACACCAACACAGTAGTAACACCAGCAGCATCAACTGCTTGTTTCTTGTTACCATATCCAATTAAATTACGATTAAAATTAGCAGCATGTTCTGAATTAAAACCAATTAGTCGATTTGTTGAACAGATTCGTAAAGAACATCAGTCACAACAGGTAGAAAAAAAAATGAAGTCTTTCAAAGTTTCTGTACCCAAACCGTTCGTTCTATTACATTCTTCTAAGAAGTGTTTAATCCAACGATTCTAAACTCTATCAGATTCAGTCATCTCTGTCAATATATCAATTATGAATGATTGTCATTTTCAAAGCATTGAAAAACAGTAGAGAAGTTAGATGCATCGAGTATCAAATAAGTATGTGCGTGCAGGTTAAGGAACAATCTACGTACATCCCCACCAATCTAGAAATTATTAATTGAATCGTTAGGAGATAACCTTCAGTACTTTATCAATACGATGAAAAACAATTCCAACGAATATATGATTCAATAAAGATGTCTGAGCAGTCCAGAAACTAAACTATCGAGAGAAGTTCTTGAACTGAGTAATCGTTTTCCAGTCTAGACTATATGCATTATGTAGAATCGAGTGAACTAAGAATGTCATGCAAATAGTTCGAACCGTTAGCTGATGGCTACTGAGATGTTGCATTTTCACGGTATCTTTTAAATCAATGCTGTAGTATCGCTCAGGAGCAATAGGAAAATTGATTTTTAGAATTTCAACTTGAAACATTGCACAAAGCTGAGAGACTCGCGGTATTGACTTAAAAAAATTAAGTAAGAATGCACTATCTCCGCACCAATAAGCCAAGAGTTCAAACTCTTCTCGAGGTATTCATAGCACATTAGGAACGACACAATGCACATAGTTTCGACTTAAAACACGACTAATCACTTGGAAGTCGATATGTGCAGAATTACTACAAGAAAGGTTGCTGAAACCAGAACCAAAAACTTGCTTCTTAAGCTGTCAGGACAATAAAAATATTCTTCGTCATTGTGACTTATATAAATAATCTCTCATATATCTTCTACGATCAAATGGTTGTACGTAATAAAAATTTTATTTTAAAATTTTAGACATCAACAGATGGAATATATTATTGTAAACGTGTTCAACATTTAACATCGCAACACATCAAACAAAATAAATTACCTGTTACATTATATGTATTTACTGATAGATCAAAAGAACCAATATGTTTAACAAATTTAAGTACTCAATCCACAGTTGCACATATTTTATATCAAGTACTTGAATTGATTTCATTTGATTATGATCAATCAATACTTAAATTACGTTCATGTGAAGAATATTTACGACATGATGATGTTTTATTTGATATTGAATATGTTTATAATTGTATTACTTCATTGAAACAACTTCAATTTGAATTGGTTAAAAAACCAATTTGTACAGTTCAACAAAAACAAGATAATATAAGTTTTGAACAATTTTGTTTAAATCAACGAGAAAAATATTTTCAAATAATGAAACAAATAAAGTATGTTTGTTTAATTTTTTTAATAGAATTTACGTTTAATTATTATATATAGACCATCACAATCTACAAAATCATTAAATAAAAATAAACAAAAAAAATCTCTGGATCAAACTCGTTCATTTCCATCGTCAAATCCTCGATGGTTAGAAGAATTTCGTCAAAATATTAATTCAACACTCGAACAAATTGAACAACGTTTTAATCGTTTAATTAATCCAAATTCACCTGAATTATCAATAAATGAACAAATAAAATTAATTCAAGAATTAATAGGTTATAATAAAACTATTCAAAATACATGTTTAGATATTCAATCACCATTATTTATTGAGAAACAACGTGAATTAAAACTTTATACTGCTCAATTAATAAAGCAATCACAAAATGAAAATAAACAAATATTAACTTCACAAACGTCTGAAAATTTAGTACGATTACTCTTTGATTTACTTCTTACACTTATGACATACATTCAAACATATTGTCAAGCATTCTTAATTCCTTATGAAGTAGAGATTTATAACGATGACAATAAATCAATTGATATCGAACAAGTTAAATCTCTGGTAAAAAAAAGAAGATAAATGAATATTTTCTTGATTGTGTGATTTAGCAGAAGTATATGAATGACAAAAAATTTCTCGAAAATAGGTGATCCCAACTTTTTTTGGAGAAAAAATAGTTTCAAAAAATAATAAGTAGATACACATTTTTGATTCTCTAAACTTTCTACCAACGACAAAATACTTGTGATTCGTTTTTCTAATGCATGCTTTCATGTATAGTGTTAACTGACAAAAACACAAGGTTCTGAGAAAATATTTTTCTGTCTGTAGAACTTTGTGGAGTTTGTTACGCTGATCATTTTGATAAACAAATATTCGAATTTACTCAGTAAATTATGATACTAGAACCTAAATACTCAAAAACTTCTGCTATTTCTGACTGCTGCTGAGTGATAGTTGACTTTTTTTCGAGTATTTTGACCCTAGCATCATGATTTTTTGAGTTAGTTTGGTCGAAACCAAAATTTCACAAGGAAAAATATCGAAAAACTCCGAAGTTAAAAGCTAAAATTGTTGAAAAGTATCTGTTCGAAAAAGTATTGATGATGATATCATTAACACATAATTAATGTTGGGGTATGAGTATCAGCATGGGTTCATAGAAGAATTTTGCCCACACCCACATCCGCACCCTAGCAATAAATGATGGCCATTAGTTTTTTGTTTTTCTGCTAAGGTAATAAGTGAGTGTTTTGATATTCATAAATCATCGTATTTCTTTGTATAGAACAGAGATATGCGATTGTAATGTTAAACCAGGTAAACCGTCGTATCTCTCTCAGAGTATGGTCGTTTATGATGACGAAGAAAAAGTGCGCCATCAGTATTTCGAAGTATTTAAGTCGTTCTTTTTCTTCTTATTTACGACCATATTTATTTAACCTGTCTACTTAAAAGATATACAATAAAGACTCTTTTTCAAAGCATTTTTTCTCGCGAGACGAATCACATGTTAAATAAATGGGAGTGGGAATGAAGATATAGAGTCAGTTTTTTTTAACTAACTCGCAAGTCTTTGTTAAAGTATGATATTGATCTGACAAAGTTGGACCGATCTGTTTTGTTTATGTCTATCCTATGGAAGTGTCAACATATTCTTCTTCAAGTATAATTGATGTCATTAAGATTACTAGACTAGTATTTGATAGAATGAAGCAAACAAAGAAGATAAATCAGTAATTGACTGGTTGGTAAATTTACAACAGAAATCAATTTCATTCAATTAGTGGAATTCCTTAATGTGTTGGAAAAGAGTTTGCATTATTTATTCACAGTTGTACTTACTGCTCAAAAGACCAATAAACGATTTATTTAATTATTTTTGTCTCTTTTGTTTTTGTTTAGTCAACCATAACAATTCCTAAACCATGTTCAATAACTAATTCATCAGAATTCTTTAGTGTTCACATCGATAGTCTTTTTTCTTTACCATTAAACATTAAAACAGTTCGTATTGTTGCTCATCTTTGTTATGGAAATGAAACAAAAGCAAAACAAATGACAAGATTAATGTCATTTATACGTAATAGTTATCAAGAAAGTTCTTTACAAATTCATTTTGATCAACGACTTATATTTGATGATATACATCTATGTGGATTACAACGTGAAGCATTACTTTTATTTGAAATTTATGCTGCTTTTATTGATGACACTGATTCATCATTATCTTCATTAGTTTACAACGTTTCGGATGGAATTACAATGAGTCTCATTGGTTGGTGTTCACAATCATTGTTTGATCATGAACATAATCTTATTAGTGGTGAATATTATTTAGGTATAATTGATGCTGCAACAACAAATCGAACAGGTTTTTATTCATTGAGAAATGTTTTGGATTATGATTGTCCAATATTAACTATAACATTTCCTCATCAATCATTTTATTTACCAAATATTCATACTAGAAATGATATATGTGCTAGAAATTTCACTGAAATAACACGAGATAAACAAGAATATTTATGCCGATTACTTGATCGACCAAATTTATTATTAAATGATCATAGTCTAATGATAACAAATGAGACTTCTTTGGATAATCGAAAGCAACAATTATCATCAAATATGTCAGATAAAGGTATGCTAAACGAAACATAACATTAAAATAAAAATGACTGAGTCTTTTGTTGACGAGGAGTCCTCTCCAAATGATTTCTTTCGATTTCATTTATTGTTGATCTGTAGATACTACATTATATCCTATTAAAAATCCTAAAAGTACTTCAGTTCTTAATGAAACTTGCTGAAATTAAGAAAGTTTTAGTATTTAAATGTATTCTTGATCTCTGTAGAACTCAAAGCTTTTGTAGAAGTCATCGTTTTGCATTTCGTCTTAAAACTTTCCTCATTTGAAAGTATCTCAAATACAGTTGCTTCTATGAAGAGTTTTATAGTTTAAAGACTTCGTGTTGCCGTGCTAAAAGCTTTTCAAATGTAGATGTTTTTCAAAGTGTATTGAACCTAGTAAATTAAGATGTTTTGAAAAGCTTTTCTTAAATTCAAATGGACATATTTAGCAACTAACTGTTGGAAAACCAGACTTTTCACTACAACAGAAAAAAAGAAATTTTAGTTACAAAAATTTTTTTTTATTCAAGGAAAACGATTTTTTTTTGGGTACTAAAATTTCAAAAGTTCTGTTACGTCTTTCGAAATTTTGTAAAATATGATCTAAAAATAGTTCTGAGTATAGAACGTAGAAATTCCAATCCTCCTCACAGACGTAACAGACACTCGTAGCAATGTTTTTCTTCTCCATACAGACAATGATAGACCTTGTTGATATAAAAATCCATAGAAATCAGAAGTAGCCATATCAATAGATTCTCTCGTTAGTTTCTTCGAGGTATGAAATTAAGGAAAAAGCTGCAACGTCGTTGAATCGATATAATCATTGAAAGATAGGGAAGTATGCTAACAAATATACTTGTGTTGCTAAGATCTTTCAATCTTGAATATACAAAAATTAAACAATTTTGAGACATCTCAATGCAGAATCTTTACAAAAAAAATAGCTGCTTTCTTGTATTCCTATTTGTATATGGTCATTTTAGATTATGAATTGGCTAATGAACGTCAGTTTCTATGGTCACATCGTCATTTTCTTATTCATAAACCATATGCATTACCAAAATTACTTAAATCTCGTTCAGTTTGGGATTATCCAAGTTTAATTGATATTTATAGTCTTGTTAATGAAATAACTAATCATCGTAAAATAGATGAAATTGAATCATTTGAACTTCTTTTACCTGCTTTTCCTGATATGTATGTACGTTCATGTGCTTATCGATCATTAATATCACATATAACATCTCATGAACTTATTATTTATTTACCACAAATTCTACAAATAATTAAATTTGATTATTATTATTTATCACCAATAATAGAATATTTACTTAAACAATGTATAAATGATTATCATTTAGTACATAAATTGTATTGGTGTTTAAGACAATTACTTTTAACAGAAAATGTTCATGTTATACGTTATTATTATATATTTATGTCATTACTTTATATTATTGAAGAATATTTTTATATTGAATTAGAAAATGAATATGATTTATGTATAAATTTATACAATATTGGTTCAGAATTAAAAAATAATAAATTAAATAAAGGATATTTTTTAATTGAAGAATTAAAAAAATTAAATAATGAATTTTTTCAATCAGGTCAACGTTCATGTCGTTTACCATGTCAATTTAGTTTTGTAACAAATCGAATTGATTTTAATTCTTGTTCTACATTTCATTCATTAACATGTCCAACTAAACTTGTTTTTAATTCAATTGATTTATCCAGTGAAAAATATTATTCAATTTACAAAATTGGAGACGATTTACGTGTAAGGTCTTTTTCTTTTGTTTTATTTTTTGAATGGAATTTATTGCATAATAATTATTTTTTATAGAAAGATCAAATCGTTTTACAATCATTAACTTGTATGGATAAAATATGGAAATTGAATGATATCGATTTTCGTTTAAGTCTATTCAATGTTGTACAAACACAAGAATGTTGTGGTTTTATTGAAATGATTACAGAAAGTGAAACGTTACTTCAAATAGAAAAACCTTTAGGAACAATCAAAGGTTCGTTTAGTGAATCAGCTTTATACAATTGGTTAAGTTCACATAATACAAATGAAAGAGATTTTCGCACAGCTTTAGATAATTTAACATATTCATGTGCTGGTTATTGTGTAGCAACATATGTATTAGGTATTGGTGATCGACATAATGAAAATATTATGGTGAAAAAATCCGGACATTTATTTCACATTGATTTTGGAAAATATCTAGGTGATACACAAAAATTTGGTCGGTTTAATCGGTAAGTTTTAATTTGAAAGAAAATTTCCTTGTTTTTAACAATATTGATACAGATATTCCGAGTATTTTAAATCTAAAAATTAAATCTTTTATTATTAAGTAATGACATCAAAACTAAACTATTCATTTCTAGTGATCGTGCTCCATTTGTATTTACAAAACAAATGTTATATGCAATGTCTGATGGTGGTACATCTAATGATGCAATGCATCGTTTTGTTGATTTATGTTGTAATGCATTTTGTATATTACGTCAAAATTCTTCTCTACTTCTTATTCTTCTTTCACATTTATGTTCATCAAATGTACCTAATCTTAACTATGATACTATTCGATTTGTTTATGATCGTTTAGCACCATCATTAAATTATGCTGAAAGTATAACACATTTTACTGAACTTATTGTTGATAGTCTTAATTCTACATGGACAACATTGAATGGTTTAATACATAAAATTGCACAACCAACAAATTCAAATAATTCATCAAGTCTAATATCTAATGATACAACATTTTCATTTATACCAAAGACATATACAATAACTACAGATGGAAAAATTATATCAGCACAAGTTGTTGATTATGAAAAACGAACAAAACAATCAAAATATTATTTATATAAATTAAAAGTTGTACGTTTATATATAACTTATAATTATCGTACATATAATGAATTTTATGAACTTTATGAACGTTTAAATAAACAATTTCCTTTAATTGGTTTCAATTTAAAATTTTCTGGACAAATAGAAGATAATCTTATTGCTCAAAGACGTGTTAGAGATATTAATGATTTTCTTGAAAATTTATTTCGTTTAACAAGTGATATTACTGAGGTAAATTCAGAGAAAGTTTGAAACTTTTGGAAGTCATATTTTTATAAAAACTAATCTGAAAGGTGCATAGATATTTTCAAAGATTTGAATAGAAGATAAACTCACATATCGAATGATTGCGAAGGCTGTTAGACAATGTCAATAACTCCGAAAATACGTTAAAGATGACAGTAAATTTAAAAAAATAGTTTTATACGGTTTAATTGCTGTTGCTTATCACTGGAAAACAGAGATAGAACTGATACTACGTAGTTACTAGTGCATCTTATGTGTTCTGTTGCTCTTATTATCTCATAGACGATGTGTAATGACACTGTTGAAAGTTGGCTACGTCAAATATCTCTATCCAGAGATGAAGTCAGGTCGGTACCGATACCGACTGTAAGAAATGCAGACCACTTCTATCTCTGCTGGGAGATTGATTTATTCTAACTATTTTTGAACACATTTTTTCACCATCTTTTTATATCAACAACATCTGTTCCAGTCTATGACTAACGTTTGTGAGAGAAAGAATTCAAATGTTTACCTCTATATGCTTCAACACTCCTTTTAGATGGTGTTTCGAAAAATATGATTCTTACTTATTTCTTATTATGTGAACTTTTGCACGAATAGACTATTATGATGATTCATTATATATTGAGTTGTATAAAATATTGAATTTCGACCCAGTTCAAAACTGAATGATTTCATGAAACTTCAATAAACTTTGACAAAGATAATCACTTTAGAAACATTTCAAAATCGATAGTAAAAGTTTTCGAATGCCTCAAAACGAAATATCTATATATAGAATTTCAAAGATATTTCGAAGGATCCAAAATTCTTTCACAAATTTTCAAATATTTTGGGGTACTGCTCCAAATATTTTGATCATGGCTATACTACTTCTCAAAATTACAACAACAAGGTGTTTTTGATTTTTTTTTCTATGATGTCGAATGCATAACTAAAATGCAAATAGTGATTTTGATATTCAATGAAGTTCTCCGTAAGATGTAAACCCTCCTCAGAATAAAAAGGCATGGCCTTCTATTATGTCCCAGTGAATCGGTCTTTTTTGGGTGGCGTTATATTATGTCTTGTCGGAAATTTTTTCACATTTTTCCTTGAAATTGGTATGGCGTTATATTATGTTCAGAGAATCAAACGGTCCGGGGTGGCCTTCTATTCCGGGTGCCTTTCTATTATAGGGTGGCGTTCAATTTTGTGGAGGGGTTTATTAGAAATTATGGTTTCATATTTGGGTTTTGTGGGCAAGTTTTTCTAAAAAACTGAACACGTAGTTTTTAGATCTTAGTAAACTTTTCCACATAGTCCGATATAAAACCTTGATATATAATGTATCTGATAAAGAGCTTCATTGATTATGTAAATCATTATTTAGCTTTCAGTTAGATGCTCAATATCACCGGAGAAATAATCTAAAATATCTGGTTTATGTAATTTTGAGAAATACTGTTTATAACTTTTGAATAACTCAAAAATCAAAAGATATATCCTTATTCTCACTGCATGAAAGTTTTGAATAAATTACTTCGTTAAGAATATTTTTTATTATTATTATAGTCTGATCTTGTTTATACATTTTTTCATACAATTCAACGAGATCAACAAATGAATGATGCGAAAGAAAAATCTAATGAAGGTGAATAATATCTTAATAATAATTAAAAACATTTCTATTTCAATCATCTTTCTTTTTATTGTTATCAAGAACTTTCTCCTCGTTCTTCACAAATTTCATCAACAAATAATCAATCAAAAATTCGTATACAATTAAAATATGATAATGGAAAACTTTTCGTGATGGCCCGTCATGCTAATAATTTAGTAAATAAATTTTGCATAATCATATTTATGAATTATCTTTATTTTTTTATTTAGCCACTAAAAAATGGTAATGAACCAAAACCATATTGTAAATGTTATTTATTTCCTGATGAATCTAAATCAACAAAACAAAAAGGAAAAATTGCTAATTCACGCAATCCAATATTTAATGATACAGTATGAATTACTTTATATTACGTATTTTAATTTCGGTATTCTTTTTTTTTTTCTTGACTTTTAGTTCACATACGAAATGGATTTAGCTGAAATTCGAAAGTATACATAGATGAATAAAATATATTCAAATAGAAATATGTGTCTATCTATTTTGTTTTGTATTTAGACGAGTTCTACATGTAGGCGTTTGGAATCATGTTTTAAATGTCGGTAATCATGTTTTAGGTACCGTTGATATTCAATTATCTGACATAGATTGGTCAAAAGAAAATGCACGTGATTACACATTTACATCACTTGATGCATGAATATTTTTTTTTCCAATACAATCTGGTAGATTTAATAATAATTTTTTTTTTTTGAATACTTATCCATCTATTTTATTTCTGATACGTTTGTTTAAATTGTTAAACTTGTTGGTTTTTATATTGTAGTGTGATCATAAATGAGGATGAAAAATAACTGATTTTATTTTTGTTTTTCAGATACATTATGGCATCTAATAGATATACAAATAAAGCACCTCATGTATTTAGCTTACGTTTCAATCAAGATTCAAGTATGTAATGTGGAAAGCTTTCATAATATGAGCATATTGAGAAAATGAAAAATATCGAAATGAAAAACAATAATATTATCTTTATATAAGTTGAATATCATATTCACATTCATCTCAAATAGAATGTATTGTTCTTTTTACAATAAGTACATTAAAAAGTATTTCTATTACGATTTATCATTATCCGATATGATAGCCTTGTTTCTAGATACGAGCTTGACTAGCTTTCTTTTTCATTTCGATCAAAAATTCGGAAGTCTTTTCTATAGTGACAATATCTTTGTTGAATGTTTACCGTAGGATAGGATATTGAAAGTAAAACTTGAACAAAGAATGTTTGGACTGGAATATTTTTTAATGAGAAGATCGCATAATCTTAAGATTATTCTTGCAGTTTTGTTCAAAACAACTGACTTCTTCTGGAAATATTCAACATTGAAAAAAATTGTTTTTTTTCTGCTAGCTTCGAAAATTTAATCCGCTTCAGAACGTTGAATATTCTCAGATGAGAGCAGTCATTTTAATTGAGATCTCCTTAGTAGCAAACATTTTAGATAAAAAATCCTCCGTTCGACTTTCCTATCAATGCTCTGTTCTCTGACAAGAATCCTGCAAAATTACTGTAACTCTGTAGAAACGTTCTATGAAATCCAAATAATGTTGACATTATTCTTATCCAGAAAATTTTCTCTAAAGGTTCAAAATATGAGCTCAAAAGTGTAGAATCACTTTGAGCGATTTTCTGGTACACTTTTTCTAAAAAGAAAAGCCAGTATTTATTGACTATCTTTACAATATGTTGTGAATTGAAGAAACTTCTTCATAAAATAGCACATGATAAATAAGAAATTCTTGGTATTTTATTAGAAAATTTATAAATCATAACTGAATAAACAGTAAAATATCTCAAATAATTTATTAGGCTGTTTTATTTGTGCTACATATGATGGTATTCATGTTTTTAATGTTGAGCCACTTGCTCAAAAATGTTATCTTGGTAATAAATGTTATAAATAATTTTCTCTTAATTACTATTTGTAATTTATGGTTAGACGTGGGTCCTACTACTTATGCCGAAATGCTTTATCGTACGAATTTAATTGCTTATGTACTAGCAGATCATACTACTGGATCACCATCACATGTTGGTAAGAGGGAAAATATTTATTGTTATTATTATTTAAATTATAATATTTGAGTCAATATCTATGATGATCAACGTAAAACGCATGTACTTGAACTTAGCTTTCATTCATCGATTACTTCTATACGAATGTCAAGAACAAGGTTTGAAATATATATGTTAGCGTCCAACCTAGGATCCGGCATCGAACGGACATTAATGAAGGCTATATGATAGACTAAGTAAATTGCATTCTATGCAAAGGTGTTGATTTAGTTCGAAGAATGTATTGAATAAAAACTAGAATAGAAAAATGTAGATGAAATTGAATCGCTGTTTATACTAAAACAAATTTCAAAAAAGTAAAATTTAATTTATATCTCGATTGAAGATGTGAGAGCGAAGCAAAGAAAATAAGTATTTTGCATACCCACAATCACCCTTCGTTGATTTTTTGTGTTGCTTGCTTATTGTCGATTTTTGCTTTAATATAATATGTTAGTCGATTCGAGGCTGGACGCGAGAATATTTCTTTTTTTATTATCTGTTTTGTGTTTTCTTTTTGTTATATAGACTTGTGGTGATACTTTTGGACAAAATACATATTTTTTCCTTCCCATCTGAATGTCGACTTTTACATACAATTCATACAAGAGAAAATCCAAAAGGTTTATTTAAAATAATTGATTTTTATTAATTAATGAATTTCTATCTTTATTATATTAGGTCTTTGTGAATTATCGAATAATAATAATAATGGATCATTTATTGTTTTTCCTTCCAATGCAAAATATACAGGCGGCCTTATTCAAATATTAGTAAGCATAGAAACAATGTATTATGAATTGTTTGCAAATCCATGTTTTTTTTTTCATTATAACTTAACCGATTGAAAGCTGTTTAGTAGCTTGACATCATTTGTTTGTGCGCATCAACGTTTGTGCAATGAGCATATCTAATTCAATGATTTATAAGTGGATTGAAGAAATAGAGTCTTAGATTAATATGACTTTTTTCTCTTCTCGGACATATACTTTGAAACAAGTCAAAATATTCTATCAGATTTCAAGTCCCCCATTTAGAATATTATCATAGTGCAGAAATTATTATCGGGAATCGAAATTTCTTTTATATTAAAACTGGAAAAGAACAAATCTGAAATTAGATAATTAATAAAAGTCAATTCTCTTTTTTCCTCAAACAAAAAATACGCATATTTGAAGTTGATTGATTGACATGAGTATACTTTTGTATCATGCGCGTGTGCAGACTGACTTTTAATGTATGTGTGCATAAGCATCATATAGCGCACACATACTTTTTAATGCTAATATTCATTTAAAAAAAAAGAATAACGAAAGAGAGGGAGAGACAGATTTTTCTTTCCATACAATAATGACCGCATCAAATAACTTGCTTGATTCTGTATACTTTTGTGATTAGTGAAAAAAGACGATGAATTCAATTTTTTTTTTGCACATTATGATTATCAATTATATGACATGGTTTTATTATTTATAATACGCGTGTCATCTTTCTGTTTTTATTCTAATGACAAAATACAGCAGGTAGCTGAGAAAGAAAGAAGGTAACCAGATGCGCAACGGATGAAATAACATAATTGGCAAATGATTATATGTCATAGGAAGCATCCTAGATGATCATTAGCGCATCATTGCTTTTTTTCTTGTCGTCATCGTACCATATACTAATTTGATGCATACGTTTTATACTCATTTTTCACTGATTAAAATTAATCAAATCCGTTGCTTATTAAACAAAACAAAAAAAAATCTCCATTGACCAATGATGTCTTTCTTTTTATTAACAGACTAGAAAGAACGAAAAAGAAAAAAGTATTTTTTATTTGTATGCTTTTTTTTTGTGTTAATTAATGATGAATATATGTTGAATTGTTCGATGGTAGTGAATTATTTGTTGTTGATGATGATGTCGTTGCAAATAAACCATGAGAATATACTGTACCAGCAGCAAAATATGCAGCTTGGTTCAGTAATGATGTTTGAAGATCTTGACTAATAATTAAAAAGAAAACAATTGACATTTTCAAATTTTCACGAAGTGAAAAGTGGTTAGGTTGTAAATGTGCCATGACTATTAGATATATAAGGCGGATAATGTTCGGGATAAGTGGCAATTTCTATTTTTTTCTTTTTTTTTTTGCTTCTCTTATTTGAAAAGGGCATAACTTACGTTCGTGGTGTACGATCTCTTTGTCGTCGATTTTTAAACCAATTACTAACTTGTGTTAATGTTAAACCAGTTTTTTTTGCTAATAAACGTTTTTCATTTGGTGTTGGATAACGATTTTGTCTATAACATTCTTTTAATGCTTGTCGTGATTTTTCTTTAAAACAATAAATTGTTTCTTCACCATCCCATATAGATTTTGGTAATGGATATTTTCGTCTTATTCGATATTTATCCACAGCACCTAATGGACGACCACGAATTTTTTGTGCTTCCGTATAATGTGCTTTATACCATAATTGTTGTAATTCTGAATGATGATGACTATCAAATGTATGTGTTTCTAATAAATAATATAATTCACGAAATTTTGATTGATGATAATAAATAATTGCACGCGCTTTTAATATACTATCATGTTGATGTATTAATGCAGCATCAGGTGAAGAAGATTTTAATGGTAATAATTGTAAAAGTTTTATTAACTTATCAATTTTACCACTCTGTTGAATAGCTTCACATACACAAGCTAAATGATCAATTGTTAAAGTTATTGTTTGTTCAATATTATTATTATTATTGTTATTCGGTAATTTAAGAATAATTGGATGTTGTATAAGAGAATTATTTGTCGCAGGTGATGATGTTAATGTTGAATTTGATGAATCATCATTTTCAATTTTTGTTGAAATATTTGATTGAGATACATAGTGATTGGGATAATAAGATCCATAAACATTGGATGATGTTGCAGAAAAATTGTGATGATGATAATCGTATGTTGAATGATGATAAGAAGAGCTTGTTGTGCTCGATTTCATCATATTTAGAGAGAACCGAGATGATGATAATATATAGACACAAATTCTCGCCTTTCACGTACTCGAGTAATATGATCAAATGTATTGTTATACTTTCTCTCGTTCGACGATAAGAAAAAAACACAGAAAAAAAAAAAGATGATTGGTTAAAAAAACGTATTGGTCAAATAAGAAAAAAAAATAGTCGTGTTCTATGTTGTTTTTTTCTCACTACAATGAATGATTAAGTATGTTCTTAAGAGAGATGAAAGAGAACCTGTAATTTTCCACTTGGAATAGACTATTTAGTGGTTAAAAATTTTTTCAAAGTTATAGGAAAATTGAAGTATGCATACGGCATATATTGAATGATTAGAAGATGATGAATAAGTGTCAAGAGTAGTCTTGGTTGAGTATATTTCTTTTTTTTTGGCAATTGAAAAAAATTTAGTTTAAAAGAAATGCGACTATTCATTCTAGCATGCGTTTTTTTATTTGAATCAATGTTACTCATATGATTCTTTATAAATATGTGAATAACTCTTAACTTATTCTGCGATTATAAAAATTATCGGATATAATTGGAATAGATATTTTATATAGTGGCACGTTAAGCTCACATTAAACATGGAGAAAACACATTGGACCCACTTACGATCTCCAGCTAACTTTGTTCGATCGGACTAAAGTTTTGACCATAGATACTTGGAAATATTCTTCAGAGATGAAATCGACCTTTTTCGTTTTTAACTTTCATATCCGGATTTATAGACTCTGTAAACTTCAATGTTCAGTAGTTTTCTAGACATCAAGATTCAATATGGATCCTCAACCTGTACAAAAATTTTTTCGCTATACTTCAAGGTGTAAAAGTGAAAATTGTTTTATTTGAAAGAGAACTGTTTGTCTCTTCAGATGAGAGGAAGGAACTTTTTTATTGTTGCTCTTTTTAACTTTTGAGAGTGTTGAAACTTCTAAAATATTGAAAAACCATCAGAGGCTTATTTGACAGAACTACAACCTATTTAAAAACTACCTTCCCCTCTTGCGAAGAAACACCAAATACCTCAGTAAACAAAATAGCTCCAGAGTCTTGAAAGAAAACCTTACAAATTTCCGAGATTCAATAATATAATCATACACTGGTAAAGTAGATTTTTGAGGCGACATGCCCGTATAATTGTTTTAAAAATCTTTTTTTTTTGACGAAAATCGACTTTTTAGAGGAGAGAAGCCTTCAATTCGTAGACAAATATTGTATTTTTGGTCATCTCTTTTTAATTTTGCTTTGATCGATATGATTTATAACATATTTCGCTGAAAGTCATGGAAAATTTAGCTACAATTTTGAGTTCTGGTTCGAACAACTTTTTCAATGGTGCTCATCTGCGCACTTGTCTTATCAGACAATAAAAGGTTTCATTGAGTGATGTCGAAATTCGATGATCACATTAAAATAGAATGATTATTTTGGGTTTTGATATAAATTGATTGAATATTGTTATGAGCTAATTGTATATCTCTGATCGAAATTTTATTTGTTTTAATGAAACTTAAGAGCAATAAACCATGTATAGATGATTGGTAAAAATAGTTTTTATTTAACAATTTTGTAATTTTAAGATTGTGAATATCGTAATTTCAACATAAAATTTTGTTTAATTAGAATGTGGATGGATTTGAAAATGAAATGTCTCATAATCCACGTCTAATTCAAGCTCATAAAAATGAATTAGCAGCAATTGCACTCAGTTCTACTGGTAATCTATTAGCTACTACTTCTAAACGGGTATGTTTAATAAAAGAATAAAAGTATGTTCTTATATCTTATATTTTTAACAGGGTACTCTTATACGTATATTTTTAACAACAGGATTATGTGAAAAAATTTTTGAATTTCAACGTGGTATAGATACAGCTGATATTTATAGTCTTGCATTTAGTTTTAATTCAGATTTTATATGTGTATCAAGTGATAAGGGTACTGTACATGTATATAGTATACGTGATCCAAAATTGAATCGAAAGGCTACATTTCAATATGCATTCAATGAAAATTGTGGTGATATATGTAATTTTAGCGTCAATAATGAACAGCCATGCCTATGTGCATTTGTAGACCCGAATCATGTTATTGCAGCAAGTTTGAATGGAACATTCTATAAATATATTTTTAATTCAAATGGACAATGTAATCGAGAGATCTATGAAACTTATTTGGATGAAAATGATGGATGTAATTTTTGATAGGAAATCTATTTATAATTTGTTTTTTTTCATGTTTATGAGATAAACAGTGTTACAAAGAAGAAATAAATCAAAGATTTGCTATGGCAAACTTTCGAAATTTTAGTTTTATACAAGGAATGTTTACAGAGATCATCGGTATGTTGTTTTCTGTTGTAGTCTTAAATGAGTACTATGTTTTATTAAAATCAATGGAAATTTTCAAAAAAGAAAAATTTCTTACTAACTACGCTCGTTTTAAGTGAGATATCATTATTATCGAGGCTGATGAGAAAGTTAGACGATATATCGATCAGTATTCGTACTCCTGAAAAGTTCTCTGCTCCACATACATTTTGTAAATTCTTTTGCAAATTACTCTTTAGGAGAGTTCAGATTCCGTGCTTTTGTATCGAAGATAGCAAATCACCCAGATAGTTACATATATAGCAAACGTATTCTCAGCTCTTTTGTCTTTATACATACTGTCACAAGGCGTTCTACATTCTAGCTTACAGAATATCTCGTAAGATTGTTATGTTTTAGACACATTTTATCTAACAAAAGCAATTTTTTAAAGTGAAATATACAAAAATATGACTTCATCGATATCAAACAAACAACATATCCGTAATATCGGACTGACTTAAATAATGCATTTCATGGATTTTTATTGTATTTATAAGATTTTTTATGGATTTTACGGATTTTTTATAGATTTTCAAGGATTGGCAATCTCAAAAATCCGCCGTTTCCCCCTTGAGTATATCTTTACTAGTTGTAGCAGGAAAAATTTTCGCTCGAATCTTATTGAATCGTATTCAAAATATGCTAGACAAAAAATTGCTAGAGAAACAAGCAGGCTTTCGTTCTGGTAGATCTACAATCGATCAACTATTCATATTGAAAATGGTTATGGAAATATCAAGAGAATTCAATCAACCACTACACATATGTTTCATCGATCTACAGAAGGCCTGTGATTCGGTTAACCGTGAAGCTCCGTGGAGAATATGTCGTGCATACGGACTATCCGATAAGATAATAAAAATGATCAAACTTCTATATGAAGATACAAACGCTGACGTAAGAATTGATGGCGACTTCAGTACCAGTATCCAAATGAAAACTGGCGTCAAACAGGGATGTCTTCTCTCTCCGATCTTATTCAATATTTACATTGATTTTGTCATGCGGCAAATACTTGAACAAGTTGAAGGTGTCACCATAAGCTATCGTCTAGGGGATTTGTGGTACTCAGGTCGTGAAAATAGCGATGATGTAAAGCCGTTAGCTCTCATATACGCAGATGACATTGCTGTTATGTGTCAAAGTATTCAAGACCTAGAAAAATTTATAAAAGAATTCAAAAAGTCACACAAAATTTTGGTCTTACTCTGAATATCAAAAAGATATGCATTATGTCTCTAAGACAATTTCAAAAGTCAGTATGTAAGACTAAAAACAGAACAGAGATTGATAATGTGCTATTTGACATCACCATACGCAATCAAAAAACAAAAAAAAACAGACAAGTTCAACTATCTTGGATGCTATCCATCAAAAGATCAAACACAATGTAAAGATATTGAAACTTGTGTAAGCAAAGCATTCAATGCATTCAATAGTCTCCGACGAATTGTTTGGTATCGAACATGTATATCGATCCAGGCAAAAATAAGAATGTTCAAAGCATCTTTACTCCCAGTACTTTTGTACGGAGGTGAACTATGATCTCTAACAGTGCCCACGGAAAAATTTTTATACGAAAACCGCGGTTTCATCGCACACCACCGCGGTGTCAATTCGATAACCGCCGAAAACCGCGGTTCACAGCGGTTTCTTGCACCGCGTTCACAAAAAACCGCGGTGTGTGCACTCGTAACCGCGGTTTCAAATTTAGCGTTTATTACCGGTTTTAAAAACCGCGTTCGTCACTCACAGAACCGCGATTCAGGAAACCGCGGTGTTGCTGTGAAAAACCGCCATGCATATCGAAGTGTAAAGTAATGTGTAAGGACATTCAAGATGTCGNATTCCGTAGCTTGGAAGCTCCTGAAGGAAAAGGACCACGACCATTAGAAATAGTACCTGGTGTTGATATTCAACCATTTGTTTCACCAGATAAATTCAGAAAACTGGATCATGTTGAACCAGTCGAAAGACCGGAAAGAGAGCTATTGGAACCAAAACGAGCACCACGTGTCATTGCACCATTAGTTAATTGTGACCTAGAAGAACTTATGCCTGTATTACTTACAACTACAATTGATGCTGGTGTCCCGATGGCTACAGTAAGGATTGTTTTTCATTCTTTCTCCAACGATTTGCAGTGCAAATTACTTCAATTTTACTAAAAAAAAGGGTTCAGAAAGATCAAAGTAAAATTTCTCACTAACGAAATGCCACAAGATAAACGTACATTGATATAATTAGTTGTTTCTTGTTTCATAGCGATTTTGTAGCTCTTAAAGAGTTTTAATACCCTTATTATTGTTGTTTCTTACAATCATTTCGTGAATTCTGTTTTTTGGCGGATATTGATGTCTTTATTCGCGAACTTTATGATTTGTTTGCCAAGAAAAGCAATTATATTCTGTTGTTTCTTTGTTTGGAAAACACGAAGATTGTTTTATTAGTAGTAAAGGCGTAACACACGATAAAACATGACATTTTGTTGTAAATATCATCATGTACGGAATAAGAAAAAGAATTATCTACCTATCACTTTTTGTTCCACTATAAATGTGTCTGACGTGTGTCTTAGAACTTCTGCAATGTCCAATAATTAATGAAACTAACTAAAAAAGAAAATTCATTCATTATAGTGTAAGAATGAACTTCAACAAAGTTCTGAAACAGATAAAATAACAAAATTTTAACCGAACTACTGAAATAAATGAGAGGTGAAGAATATATGAAAAACATCTTTCTGTCGATTCCACATGAGCACCGTCACAAATGCAGATTCCTCTATTAACATGAAGAATAGAGTCAATCGTTCAAGCAGGAGTTGTAACATAATAAGTCCTCAACGCCTGATCGTTGATCCATGAACAACACAAGATGAATGTACTGATGCCACAAATACTTTATTAAAAAAACCACTGACAATACATAGAAAAGTGGATTATCTCTCGATGCATAACTATTCCTCAAATGATCAAAGTCGAGCATTGGCAATAAGCACCTGAAGAAAGCGCATAGAAAATGAGCGACAGGTGATTTTTCAACGAGAAAAACAAACATGCATGATACACATTGAACAAAAATAAACGAAAGATATTTGATAAAAATGAATGAAAAGGACCAACGATAAAATTATGATGTTTATAAGAAAAGAGGGGGACTAGAAGCCAATAAAAGGAAAGTATCAATAGATAACATTCATTTGCTAAAGGATCTATGGGAACCATTACCTATTAAACAAAACGAAAGCACGCACTCTTTTACCTGGTTGCTTATCATGCGCATATAGGGTTTTTCAAATTGAGTTCTAATATGGGAAAGTTTCGACTTTCAAATTTTATGTTTATCTCTTAGGCGAATATCGAACAGAATACCCATAGATTAAGCACTCAATATTACGGGCACAATGCTCAGTTGTCAAATTATTAAATCCCATTTCTCACAAGTTTTATTTCACTGGTCTAATCACAGAAATTCTATTTTTCCAAGTTTCATTATGTTACATGTAAATAAAAACTAAATCTTTATTTTAAGTTCACTTGGTATAAAAATAACAAACCACTTCTTGAAGGCAATCGATTTACAACTAAATATCACATTCTTACAAAAGTATTAACATTACAAGTACTCGCTGCTCGCCCTGATGATCAAGGAACCTATACAGTTCGTGCAACAAATCCATCTGGTACTGATGAAACAACATGTAAACTAACAATTCGACCAGTGGCCTCAATTGATACACGACCATTTATACAACCTGAAACTTTCGCACAATTAGAGCTCAAACCTCCAGCTCCAACGAAAGATGATATGGAACATATGGAAGCACCAAAGGTTGTTGTACCTCTAAAACCTGTACAAGTAAAGGAAGGATCACCTGTTCTTCTTCAAGCAACTATAACTGGAAAGCCAAGACCTACTGTAAGACTTTATTATAGAAAAGTAGCATCTTTATGTTTTTTTTTGTTTTAGTTTGTTTGGTTGAAGGATAATAAACCATTGGCTGCATCGAATCGACTTCGTACACGTTATGATATTCCTACAAAACAAGTTTTATTACAAATCGATGACGTTCGTCCACATGATACTGGTGAATATTATGTCATTGCAACAAATCCAGCTGGTCAAGATTCAACAATATGTGCAGTAAATGTTGTACCGGATAAACCAGGTGTTGATGACCGGGCTTTTATTCCACAAGATAAGTTCCGTAATTTGGATGCTCCTGAAGGAAAAGGACGACGACCATTGGAAATTATCCCTGGTGTTGATCTTCAACCATTTGTTCCACCAGAGAAGTTCCGTAAATTGGATCATGTTGAACCAGTGGAGAGACCGGAAAAAGAGCCATTGGAACCAAAACGAGCACCACGTGTCATTACACCATTGAGTAATTGTGAACTGGAAGAACTTTTCCCTGTACTACTTACAACTACAATTGATGCTGGTGTCCCAATGGCTTCAGTAAGGATTCTTCTTTGTTTTCTTCTAAGCTAGTAATAGTTCGAAAAGGTATACAAAGTTCAGAATCGCATTTTTTATCAGTGGAATGCCTTTCAATAACCATGCATCCTTTGAAGCTTCATTGAATTAAGCGATTGCCGTTGTTTCAATGGGACCCGATGATCTAAACGAGTCTAAATAATTTGAATTGCTATCTTGTTTGAATTATTTTCTGTATTGTTTTTATCGATGAACATTGATATGCATAATGATAGACTAAAACCCGTGTCTGCATTTTATGGATTGAAATGAGAAAGAAACTGGCATAGGAATCCCTCATATGTGGAGTTCTTGGATTTTACCTATGCTAAGATAACCTTCAGTCCACGAGATATGCACATTCTTGAAAACTTCCGTGAATAATGCTAAAGTTTGTTCTCGATATGCGTTTCATAGTAAATTGTAGTATGCGTCATTCGTTCGATGGGAAGTAATGAGAATAGCTAAAACAAATCAGCGTGATTGCAGCCAAACGAACGCACCATAAAAAAAAATAATCTAGTTTTTCAATAGCATTAACCGTTAATGCAAAAGGTGGCTATTTCAGTACAGTGGATGAAAAGTAATCAAACGAAGCTCTATTTAGATAACATAACACAATTTTAACAAATTTAGAACGAGATATAATTATTCACTGGAATCAGTGAGAAACGTAAGCAGCATGGCACTGGTCATTTCATATGAACAGCGACACATATGCACACCTCATCTAATCCATTTGATGTCTCTTGATAAAGATAATAAAAGGAATAATATCATCGTTAAACCAAGGATTGAAACAGAAGCAAAGCAGATATAACTTATTACTAATTATAAGCATATGCTAGAAGCTTTTACCAATCAGACTGATGATGCAGAGAATTTTTTCATGCAAACTTCTGTTAATAACTTGAATGAACATCAAGTATAGCACTACTGATATAATCTTCAGTTCCGAAACGACGAAACTGCAATTTCTTGCGTATCTTCTTTTTTTCACTCCACCTTTTCTTTTATTACTTATAAATAAAAACTGAATTTTTATTTTAAGTTCACATGGTACAAAAATAATAAACCACTTCTTGAAGGCAATCGATTTACTACTAAGTATGACATTCTAACAAAAGTATTAACATTACAAGTACTTGCTGCTCGTCCTGATGATCAAGGAACCTATACAGTTCGTGCAACAAATCCATCTGGTACTGATGAAACCACATGTAAACTAACAATTCGACCAGTAGCCTCAATCGATACACGACCATTTGTACAACCAGAACGTTTTGCACAATTGGAACTTAAGCCTCCAGCTCCAACGAAAGATGATATGCAACACATGGAACCACCGAAAGTAATTATACCACTGAAGGGTGTACAGGTTGATGAGGGAGTACCTGTTCTTCTTCAAGCAACTATAACTGGAACACCAAGACCCAAGGTAAGGCGTGATTAAAGATTAAAAAAATGCCGATTTCATGCTTTTCTCTTTTAGTTTGTTTGGTTGAAAGATAATGCACCATTGGCTGCATCAAATCGTCTTCGTACACGTTATGATATTCCTACAAAACAAGTTTTATTACAAATTGATGATGTTCGACCACTTGATATTGGTGAATACCGTGTCATTGCAACAAATCCAGCTGGTGAAGATTCAACAATATGTTCATTAGGTGTTGTACCAGATAAAACACGTGTTGATGAACGACCTTTTGTACCAGCAGATAAATTCCGTAGCTTGGAAGCTCCTGAAGGAAAAGGACCACGACCATTAGAAATAGTACCTGGTGTTGATATTCAACCATTTGTTTCACCAGATAAATTCAGAAAACTGGATCATGTTGAACCATTGGCAAAAGAAATCGAAGAAGTACCAGAACCAAAACGAGCACCACGTGTCATTGTACCATTAGTTAATTGTGACCTAGAAGAACTCATGCCTGTGATACTGACAACTACAATTGATGCTGGTGTCCCAATGGCTACAGTAAGGATTGTTTATCATTCTCTCTTGAACGATTAGCAGTAGGATTTAGTTGTATTTTACTCAAAAAATGATTCAAAAAGATGGGGGTAAAATTTCTTAGTGACGCAATGCCGTCAGATAACAGGATGCTGATATAATTGGTTGCTTCTGGTTTTATAACGATTTTGTCACTCTTAAAGAATTTCATTATCGTCAATCTACTTGTTTCTTCTAATCATTCTGTGAAACCTGGTTGACTGCGAACAGTCATGTATCTCTTCATGGAATCCACAATTAGTTTCTGAAGGAGAACATTTACAGTCAGTTTTTTCCTAGTTTTGGTGACCTTGCGAAGAAAAGGTCCGCATCTATCTAACAAGAAAAACAATCCATCTCTTCGCACTTTCGGTTCGACTACAGCTCAGTCTGACATTTATCTTAGAACTTCTGGAGCTTCCCTTAAATTAATGAAGGCAGATAAACAAACGATTTGTTCATCATAGTGTAAGTGAGAAATCTCAAAATTCTCGAACGAAATAAAATAACGTAATTTTAACCAAAATTATTCGAATAAATGAGAAATGAGAAACATGTCAAAAACATTCTTGTAACGATTTCATATAAGCAACATCACATCTGTTAACTATGTCTGAAGTATCTGATACGTCGATTATTGAGGAGTATGAAGAATAAAATTCATGGTAGCAGGAAGGGTTGCAAGACGATAAATACTTATCCCTGGATTGTTGATCGGTAAATGACACCAGATTAATGTGCTGTTGCCACACATTCTTCATTTATAAAGAATTATGGGCTATATATATACCACAGTGAATCACCTCCATATACAGAACTATTCCTCGGATGATGAAGGTGCAGTGTTACGAACAATCTCATATACGAAACGCAAGCAATGAGTGGAAAAGGCTTTTTGAAAGAAAAAACGAAACGTAGTTAATACATGTGATCGAAAAACGTCAAAGATATATGATGTGTATAAGAAAACAGGCACTATAAACCAATAAAAGAAAAACATCAATATAGAAGAATACATGCACTAAAGAGCACCATAAAATCTACATGAACCAGCACCTGTTAAACAAAAATGATCGTACACATAGCTTAATACAGTTCCTTATCACGTGCCGACAACGTTTATTAAGTTGAGTTCTGATACAAAAAAGTTGTAACTTCCAAATTTTGTATTTACACCTTGCACCAATATCGAACAAATGCCATTCGGTTAAGTACTCAATATTGCAGACATAATCTTCACTCGTGAAATCATCAAACGTCATTTCCCACAACTTTTCTTTCACTTTAGTATTCATATACATTAGTTTGGCTCAGAATTCTCTCCTGTTACATGTCAATAAAAACTTAATCTCTTTTTTTAGTTCACATGGTACAAAAATAATAAACCACTTCTTGAAGGCAATCGATTTACTACTAAATATGACATTCTTACAAAAGTATTAACATTACAAGTACTCGCTGCTCGTCCTGATGATCAAGGAACTTATACAGTTCGTGCAACAAATCCATCTGGTAGTGATGAAACTACATGTAAACTAACAATTCGACCAGTAGCCTCAATTGATACACGACCATNGGTTTTGTAGAGAATTTTAAGCGCTTTCTTTTGATAATTAAGACAGCTTTACTTACAGTGATAATAGACAGGAAATCTTAAAAATACTGGGAGGCTCATTATTCCTGGGACACCCGATAGAATTTCGATACATTTAAATTGATTCATCAAATAATAACAGTTCAAGATTATTATTGAGTTAGGATCTTGTATGTGTTGAAGAACTATTAGTTCACATAGAACCTTGTGCGCCATAGGATCGAAACTAGAAGAAAAATTGATTGTTTTAGATTCCTATAATCCATTTCAAAATATAATGTGCTTCACTGTCTTTTTGATAACTTGTGATAGGAATACCACAGAGATCTTTAGTTTTCACCACTCAAGAAAGAGTACCCGGAGTCATCGAAGTATATCGCAACTTCATTCGTCAGTTATTGGCCAATCCAGTGAGTTCTTCATGTAGGTTTTTAGGAACGATATTTTTAAGCGATTATTCATTTAATTTAGACTTTTAATGGGACTAATCGATAGAAAAAATTCTCTTCTGTCAATCTACGTAAGACTAACCCTCCTAGTTTGTTCCATTCGAGAGTTATAAGACCTTTTTTTGAAAAATTCGATTTCAGCAAATCGAGCTGTGATCATCTGATTCTGTTATCTTGATATTTCTGAAATTCCACCGTCAGCCGTAACGTAACGAAGGAGTCGTAATTTTCAGAATATTGAGATAACAGACGCGAATCAGTTCGAATCTCAAAACCATATATCACTATTTGACTGAGCACGATGAATTACTCATGTCTAGCTGCTTCTTTGGGTGATCATACGTTAATCCCCTAAAATCGAAAGGCTTCAGAAAAAGCATTATAACTCTCGAATCTAACAAAACTAGGAATGTCTGCCTTACGAAGATCGAATGAGAAGAGTTTTTTTCTATCGAATAGACTTATTAAAAGTCTAAGTCAAAAAGAAAATAGTTTCAGAATATTGTTTTCGAAAATCTATATCAAGAACTCATCAATTGCTGACCAATCAAATTTTGATTATATGATTCGGTGGCGCTGATTTTTTTCTTGAATGGTAAAAATCTCAGGTCTTTACGATGTTCCTATCAAAATTTATTCAAAAAAACATGGAACACATTATATTTTGAAATGAATAGTACCCAAAAAGTATTAGGTTGAAGATTCTTCTTTTTTCTTCTGCTCGAATACATTGCTATTTTCGTTTACTCTAGAACTCTTTTATGTACAATAATATGTCCTTAAAATCCTTTTGTCTACACAATTTTGTGTGTGTGACAATATTACTCAAACAATGCTTTATCAGCATTGATAACGAATGTCAAGGACAGCAGGTGTTGTTGTTGATGTGAAAGTAAAAGATGAAGGTTAACAAAATTATGTTATATAAATAAATGAAGTTTTTCTTTTTGTTTTTTAAGATATAAAGACAAACTGATGGGTCTATTTAATAATATTCCAACAGATCCACCAATTGAAGTCTTTCATTTAACAGAACTTTTTAATCAAGATGCAAATCCATCAAAAGTTAATTTAACTATTGGAGTTTATCAAGATGAAAATGGTAAAACTTTAACATTACCTGTTGTTCGATCAGTTGAGCAACAAATGGCACAAGATTTAACTTTAACAAAAAATTATTTAAAAGGCACTGGACTTGATTCATTTTGTACAGCATGTTTAAAATTAATTCTTGGTGAACAATCATCAGCTATTGTTGAAAATCGTGCTTGTTCTATACAATCATTAAGTGGAACTGGTGCAATTCGTATTGGTTTAGATTTTCTTTATCGAAATGGTTTTCGTACGGGTTATGTATCAGCACCAACATGGGGTTAGAAAATTGAGAGAAAAAAAATCAAAGAATTTTTTATTTTTTATTTTTAATAGGTAATCATGAATCAGTTTTACAAACAATTGGTTTTGAAGTACGTAAATATAGATATTGGAGTAAAGATAAACTTCGTCTTGATATGGATGGACTTATTGCTGATCTTGAAGCAGCACCAGAAAAATCTGTTATTATACTTCATGCTTGTGCCGTAAATATACTTGAATTTTTTTTCTTTTTTTGGCGCCGAATTTCAATGAGGTTTTTTTCTTACTTTTAGCACAATCCAACCGGTTGTGATCCTTCACGTGAACAATGGATGCGTATATCGGACATATGTAAATCTCGTCAATTAGTGCCATTTTTCGATATAGCTTATCAAGGTTTTTCAAGCGGTGATCTTGATCAAGATGCATGGGCAATACGTTATTTTGCACATGAAGCTAAGCATGAATTGTTTATTGCTCAATCATTTGCAAAAAATTTTAGTCTATATAATGAACGTATAGGTCATTTAGTTGGTGTATTTGAATCACGTGATATAATACCTAAATTTCGTACACAAATGGCAACAATTATTCGAAGAAATTATTCAAATCCACCAGCACATGGTGCATATATTGTTGCAACTATATTAAATAATCCAACATTATTTGGTGAATGGAAAAATAATGTACGAGCTATGTATGAACGTATACATGCAATGAGACATTTATTTTATAATAAATTGAAACAATTAGGTACACCTGGAACATGGGAACATATTATTCAACAAACAGGTAAAATTAATTAAATATTTAAGTTAAAAAGAAATATAATCATAATTTATATATTTCTAACAAGGTATGTTTGCTTATACGGGTCTTAATCAACGTCAATGTCAAGTACTAATGCAACAACATCATGTTTATATAATGAGTGATGGCCGAATTAACGTTTGTGCTATAACACAAAAAAATGTTGATGAAGTTGCGCAAAAATTTTATGATGTTATTACTAATGTTGCCGATGATCCTAAACTTTAATATTATAATAATTGATTCGATAATTGACTTTTATTTTATTTAATACTTTATTTTGATTCATTCCATAAATCTTTCTTTTTTGTAGATCCATCATTTGATTTACATTGTGATTTTAATTTTACTACGCTTCGGTTTTTATTACTAAAAAATACGACTTCCGAGAAATGCATCATACTTCATTGATTTGCTCTTAACTTATTCTCTGTAGTACTCTAAATAAGTAAAAAAGACCGCAATGCATTTGCATTCTCATATATATATATATGTATTGCTAATAAGATTCACTTGATTTTTAACTCTCACAGTTGCGTGATGTATTTCTATATATATATCATTGACATTGCTATTCTTATTGTCATGTCATTTGTGCTTTGCCGATACGAACAAAGAGTGGAGAACGAAACAAAAAGGTTTAATCTCTGGAGTGTCGTGCACAGTCAATATTAGAGATCAATTTTTGACGACTCACTACCACGGTATGACTTTTTTCACCCCCTTTTCTTTCGTTCGTGTCTCTGTCGACAGTGACGGCTGTTCGCGTCGTTATGATTATGGTCGCCGATATAGTTTAGCAGTGCTAATGCAACTTTTTTCTCTTCTTTCCCTTTGCCTCTGTCTCTCTTTTGCATCTTTTCTGCTGATTACTCATACATACACGCAACTGGGTCCCTTGTGTTTGCCCTTATCGTTTCTCGTTCATAATTTGGAAGAGTAACACAGAAAAGAGAGAAATGGCATAGTATAGCAGAATAAGAGAACTCTTCCGGACAGTTTAGGTGAGTGGCAGTCGCTTACATCATCAAGTTTTTTTTTCTTCTTTTTTTTTGCATTCATTTATTTGTAGAGTTCACTTTCTCTCACAATAGACTGTCGGTCAACATGATGAATTAGCGTTTATTAATAATCATTTAGTTTCTTTTATCATGACCATCATCGTTTCTCGTTTGAAACAAATGGGAGTTCCAGTTAGTCATGCATTTCTTCCGTCTTCGTTTTTTTCTTTTTATATTCATTTAATGCTATCCATGAGAATGAAGACATCTAAACCAGCAAGACACGAGACACGTTCATAGAAGAAACTAATCTATTATATTAGTTCAAACCACTGTCGCATACGTCGATTACGTGAGAAGTGATGATCAAATATTGTAAACATTTTATGACGTCACTGGGAAGCGAGAGTATATGTATATACATAGCCTCAAAAAAATCGACATACACACGCACTATATCTTCTCTCGAGGACGAAGAGAATCAAAAACACTAAACAACAGAGGAGTAGATAGATAAGAACAACAAATAATATAAAAGGAACGATCACGGACGTTTCTTTTGCCTTATTCTATGTGTGTCTATAATCATAAAAAAAACAACAACATTTTGGTATCAACCTTAGAGAGCAGCAACAGACTGTATGGTTATTAATTCATGTCGCGTACACAGTCCATTGATTTTATTGCGAATAATGAAAGTGAGAGAACGAGAAGAAAAAAAAAACCGCGTAAAGAGAGAAACTGACTATTTTCGATCTAGTGGCGTGTGGGTATGTACGTGTGAATAGAAAAAAAAAAAAGAAGAAAAGAAAAAAAAAGTCGCGTCTTATCGTCACAAGCAAACCAAATTGGACTGTGTCAATAATAATAGAAATAGAAACGGCAGCATTAATAGTGACTGTGTATATGCTACACGTCTTTCTTTTCGATTCAGTCAGATAGTCGTGAGAAGGACGAAATACTGTTAGATACCATGATCAAAAAAAAAAGAACAAGAGACAAAGAATGTAATGGTATCTCATGGGATCCCGAGACATATAAAATGATAGATGACTTATATTTCTAGACTTTTTTTTTTTCTTTTAGTATATCTCTTTTATTTAAATAAAGACTATTTTATTTACTCTTGATGATGATGCCAATTCTGGATCAAAATCCAGCTCATCATCTTCATGGTTATGGTCATCAGACATTTTATCATCAACAACATATACCGGAACAAGGTGGTAAGATGCAATTGACACTTATCTTACCAAATGGTGTTCCATCTGTTATTAGCGTTGATGCTAAGTAATTAAATTGGTTTACAAAAATGCTATTTCAATCTTAATTAATTAATTCATTTTCATTTTTCTCTAGTACACCAATGATGGACT